CGTGAATGCATAGTCTTTTTTAACAATCAGTCGGGGAAGGCAACGCCTATCATCCCGAAAATAAACGGAGAAGGTTTAGGTTCTTACTCCGAAATAATATTAAAATTTCAATAATAAAAATAATTGAAAACCTTAAATTAAATCTTACCTCACCGGTATAAAATCCTAGTTCCGTGATGATAACATGTTGTGATTTATTAACTCCGATATATATTTTATATATTTATATTTGTATAATATTATTAGTATATGTTTTCTATGTGAGGGAAAGTACATGTTGAAACAAACGAGAGAGAGAGAGAGATCTGAAAATGATTCTAGTTCTTGTTGATCATATTCTACGTACAAGACCCACTCCTATTTATAGGTGGGGAAAACACTGTTACTCATATTTTTCTTAGTGATGAGAAGACACGTACAATGATAAGGCAAAAAGAGTTGAAGACAAGTGTATTACAAGATGACTAATCATTTTATTTGTAACATAAAAAGAATTATGATATCCCCTATATATTAATTAAATATCATTTAAGAAATTATAATGTATATTTTGTACTAATTACAAAAGATATTTAATAATGTGTCACTTAATTAGGATGTCAATTTGTGTTATGTGGCATCATAAGAATCAATTGAATAATTTGTAAGTTCAAAATCCAATTGCTAAAGACATTATATTAACTCAAAATATAAAAAGTCATGTATTTTTTCCTTAACTAAAGAGCTATGAAATTACTTAATATAATTAAGATATATATTAATACAATTAAAACATTAACTTTTTTTTAATGAAATTATCCCTACTTTTTTATGATATATTATTTTTTGTATCATCGGATTTACTTTAAACACTAAAACTTTAGGAGGGTAGTTTAGGAAATGAAAAAGGACCACCAAAATAACCTAAAATCTCTCACAATATAAATATATTGTACCATTTAATTTTCCAAATTAATTCTATACTAATCCTTTTTTGACATCAAAAGGCTGATATATTACTCAAACTTGAGGTAGTCTGGGTAGCCAGACCATAATTTAACAACCAACATACAAAAGTTCTCGATAGAAAGATCGAGCAGTTTTAGCTAAAGAATTAGGCAAACCATTATGTTTCCTAGGAACATAAAAAATCTTGAAATCTGAGAAGCAAATCTGCAGCGTCATGAGCTTTTCCAATTTCGTTGAGAAACTTGGCCAGTCATGAGGATTTCTGAGCATCACTATCATCTCCTTGCAGTCCGTCCCAAAGCTCCGACATGGTGAATGTTGAAGCATATTTTCCATTGCCCACCGCAGTGCTTCCAGCTCAGAGTGCAAAGTAGACTCCACTCTATTAAAATTACACATACTCATTAACTGACTATTTCCCATACTGTCATTCCAAACCCAACCACATCCACTGAACTGAGCTGTAGAGGTCCAAGAACCGTCCACCATACAAATATTACCCAGAATTATGGCCTGGCTTTCAACATTTATCTTTCCTTGAGATTGCAATATAATCTGTTCATTGGCTTGGAACCAGGTTTGACACTCACTCTCTGCATAACGGGCTAACTCCAATGGATCTTTATCAATTATTTTAGCTTATCATTCCGAGCTTTCTAAATATACCATATTAGCCAGAGATATGGATCTCTATCCAATTATGGTTCCATTATGGCATTTTTCCTCCAGAAGAGATAGTTCATATTTGCATATGTGCTCTGTAGTGGAAACAAGGTAGGACAAGTATGCGTAGATGATAAGGCCCAAACTTGCATTGCAGGCGGACACTGAAAGATTGCATGTGTAACTGGTTCTTCGGGTTCCCCACATCGTGGACAGTAATTATCACATCTCATATGTCTATAGTTCAAAGTACTTGTAACAGCCACATGACCTGTTGTTAATTGCTACACAAGATGAGACATCTTTTGGGGTGCCTTGACCTTCCAAGCATGTGCTTGGAGTTTTGTGATACTAGGTTCAAAAACTACAGCCTCCTCCTCCTTCATCAATATATTCCGTGCAACCCAATATCCAAATTTGACTGTGTACTGTCCATTTCTTGTATAGCTCCAGCAATATGTGTCCTTGTGATGTGAACTAATGGCTATACTCTTTATGAGTGGTATATCAGCAGCAGCTACGTAGTTCTCCAGCCGGACCACATCCCAAGACTTTGTTTCTTGATTAATAAGGTCACTCACTCTCATGTTCGGATGCAAAATCAGTGCAGATGGGGACGCTAGTCTCGCTGGAATGGTAGGAATCGATGGACCCTCCCATACTTTCACCTTGTTTGAATTGAGTTTGGTGATAACAAGTAAAAGATCGACGGAAAAATCGTCGGTGGGTTATTTCAAAGGTGTGAATGAGCAAATAGAGAAAAGAGAGTTTTATTGATCAACTAAACAGAGATTACAAGGGAAACTACAGTGCTTGGGAGCTACCGGAGTTGTATAAACCGATCTAATGAGCACCAAAATGAGTAAAATCCTAGTTTAGTTGCCGCTTCAGTCAGTCTATTTTCCGATCCCTTCTAAGCTTGGCATCTCTTCGCCTTTATAGGTTGTTGTATGGACAACCCTAATGGGCCGTGACCTTTGCTCTGTGGGCTTCCTAAACGAGCTGAATCCGCTTGCTCGGTATGGACGGTGACGTGTACTCGTCCCGAATTCCTTGTCGTCTTGCGGACACGAACTCTCCTCGCTTACTTAGACCGAGTAATGGGCCGTAGCCTTTATTCAATGGGCCTTGAAGTTAGGATGTAAATACGTCCCCTACAATAAGTCCCCCCCCCCTCCAGTTCACTATGGTCGATGCGCAGGCTTAGTGAAGTAAATCGTAATGGTCGAGAGAATAAATTGCTCGGTTTTGTAACAGGAACCGGTTTAGCCGGGCCGGGATGGTTCACCTCAGCTAGCGGGGAACCGGTTTAATCGGAAGAGGAAGAGTCTCGGACTGATTCACGCGTGTTAGGGGTAAAGTAGGAACAATAGACCTAATTATGGCTCTGCGTTGAAACGCGCGTCCGCTTCCTCTCCTATAATTTTTCCTTCTCCCCTTCATTTGTTCAGCTTCTCTGCCTCCCACAGGTATTTCCTCTCTCTAGCTTCTTTCTCTCTATTACCTTTAGTTAGAATCGGTTTATGTCTTCTGGTAGACGTCTGACAGTGGCGAGAACGGTAAATCGATAGCGGACAGCTCTAGGATTTCCGAAGAGCAAGTGTCCGATAGGCGTCGTGTTATCGAGTTTGAGTTAGCGCACTAGAAAGCTCTACGCGATCTGACGGGATTAGATCTGTCTCAGCGGTTGCTCGTCATTGTCGATTCCGAAAGATTACGGCGGGAGGAAGAGGACGCTAGGGTGCAGTCAGCTGGCAGATCTGCAACTTCAGAAGTAGGGGAGAGTCCGAATGGCTTCCGAGTAAGGGACACACCCGGTAACTCTCCTTATGCGGCAGACAAACCGATGATCCCGATCCACTTCTTCCCCGGGGGCTTGTTCGAGAAATTGCCGGCTATTCGTCCCGAGCTCTCCCGCCCGACAGTGGTCGAAGGACAGGATTGGGACAACGTCCTCCAGACCAGATCGTTTGTCGAGACCGTCAAGACGGTTCTGAGGGAACGAGGCGGACAGGGCGTGACATTCATCATTCCGAACGTTAATCAGAGGCCGTGGACGCCCCCGATCGGATACCAGTGTGTTTACGAGTCATACTTCCAAAAGGACACCCGACTATGGTTCCCGATCCCCCGACTAGTTACCTCCTACTGTTTTCGTCAGGATGCAGCGATCTTTAATACGTTATCTTGTTTGTAAATTTGTAATACGTTAGAGCATCTTTAATGCAGAGACGCTGGACCCGCCTCTTAAATTTTTTTTTTTTGGTTTATCTGATTTCTTAAAAAAAAAATTGAAAGAGAACCAATTGCGGACCGCCACGTATCGTGGGACCCGCAAAACAGTGCGAAAAATCCACAGCATACGTCTGTTATTCCGAGATGGCAGAAAACGTATTTTTTTATTTTCTAGATCCCACCAATGCTTTTCCCCTTAAAAAAGATGTTAGATATAGGCATAAGCTGTTAGATGTATTTGCCTAACCTTGCATTTACATTGAAGTTTGGCTTTCGTTTGGTTTTGTTTTGTCGTTGACCTTAGATATTCTTGAAATGAATTGTCAATTCTATTTTTCCATTTGAGAGGATGATTTATTCATATGCAGGCTTCACGTGTTACTAACAACAAGATTCCAATACTTCTATCGTATTTACAAGCAGGAAACTCTAAAATCTATATATCTTGGCCTTTGGCTCAAGATCAGTTATATCCACCAATAAGAGCACCTCCAATAGTGTTACTCACTACTAGAATCTTTAGGATTAGATTAATATATATATATATATATATATTGAAATAATTAAGGATCCTAATAACAAATGTTATTCTAATGGTGTTATCCATTATGAAATCTTTAGGTATTAAAAATAATAAAATTGTAAAACATATAAATTTAAAACATCACTAGGATGATAAACACTGCAAAACATGAAAGATTTACAGGTTATAGTTTTGGTATCGAGCAAACATCAGTGTTCTGTGAAGCATTTTTTGGGTTAATTACCTGCAAAAATCCGGGTTCTAATGCTTATCAAGTTCCAGAAGGCTGTCACCGCAGAGCCTGCCAAGATCTTCTTGTGTGAGCACACTTGCCATACTTCACCTATTCTTATTTTCACTATTTCAACTGCCCAAATCAAATTCAAACCAAGTCAAGATTTTAAGACACAACAGAACTCTGCAAACACTCACTTGTGTAACCTAATTGACAATATATAAATTCCATGTTCTCACCTTTTTGGCTAATTTGATGGTTGTAGCACAAATATAGCTTTGGGACGGTGAAGCTGAGGAAGAAATCTGTTTCAGTAACATAAGAGACATGTCAGTTTCAGTTCTCCATTGTTTTTAGTTTGTAATGGCATACCAAATGCGGATAGCCTACAGAGTGTTAAGAGGTATACTCAGCTCCAATAAGCAGAAAAGGTGTCACCTGAAGCAAAAGAGAAGAGCATATGAAACCACAAAAACCCCATTTTTGCTAGAGAAAGAGGAGGGAGTTTGTCAGAAAATTACTTTGAGCGTCATTGATGGTTCTCCAGAAAAAAGCTCAGTGATCGTAGAAATGAGAAAGTTGGTAGCGGGAAGGAATCGCCTGGCTAAGCGCAAGAAATCATCTTCACTCACATGGAACTCTCTCCTCATGCCTTCGTTTTTCCTAAGATGGGTGGATGAGACTAACTGTTAGGCTAATAGAGAATGCCAAAAGAAACAGTGGAAGTTACCTTTGAGAGAGAGTGTTTGACAAGAAGGAACCGCAAAGCAACACAAGTCTGAGGTTGGAAACCGCCGAGAAAAGGCTTCAAAACAGACAATAATACTTTGATGATGATTATTATCAGAATTTTGATAAAGAGGAGTAAAATGAGTACCTAAAGTTGAGTTTGGCGAAGCAAGAAGAAAGGAAAGAAAGACATTCAAGACTGAACCAGAGGGTCGATTTGGCAACATCCCTCCACATAACCAAATCACTGATAATCTCTCCATCTTCCTACTCCAGTCTCCTTGCGTCTCTGTCTTCTCTCTGAACCAACTACATCGAGCTTCTCATTTCTCTCTTCCCTCGCCTCTGAACTAACTCCATCTCCTCTCTTCTATCTTGATCGACTCCAACTCCATCTAATGTCCCAGCCGCTAACAGTATGTCAAAAACAAACAAATTTGCTCAGTCCAATATCAAACTCAGATGAAAAATTGCAGTAAGCAGAGGTATACAAAGCTTGTGTAACTCTCGAAGTCTCTGACTTCTTAACTTACAAAGATTCACACCGGTGTTACCAATCTGTGGGTTTGTCATTAGCTTGCAATTGATGTATCGACGTCGAGACAGCCATTGTTTACGTCATTGAATCAGACATGTTACATTGAAATTATGACTGTCAATCTAACAAAACTGCATCACAAGATAAGAACTTTGTCACAAATGGATGGGAAATTGATCAGAGGCGGTTCATAGATCCAAGAGAAGATTGAACAGATCAAAGGGAAAGATAGGAGTGGAGGTAAACAGTCACTGCCATGTTGATAAATATAAGCCTCTTTAAATTCTTCTTTAAGGATTAATCCTTAGATTAACTAGAGTAAATAATACTCCCTCCGTTCCTTAAAGATACATATTTTAAAAAATAATTGTTTCTAAAAGATCCATTTTTTTATATTTTCAATGTATGTTTTATTAAATAATTGTAAACTTCAAAAAACTTAATTGCACTAATTATTTTTGATTGGTTTAAAATTATGGGAAGAAGATAAATACAAAAAAATATACAAATTTATTGTGTTTTATTAAAAAGTGTGAAAAAACTAGAATATAAATCTTTTAGGAACAGAGGGATAAGTAGTATTATATTCATATAATCTTAAGGATTATACGTTAAGGATCCTCGACGTATTCGCGTTGCGGCTGCTCTAACCAAACAGTCCCGTTCCTTCTAACTCTAACATCTTGGACTTTTGTTCCATGTGCATTTCATCTTTTGACTTCCCGTCATTTTAGTCTAAATTTTTGTCGGCATATAAAGAGATAAATACACCTGTGGATTTTCTTTTTGACAAATATCGTCTTTATTAAGTTCTTAAGTTAATATGCAGAAGAAAATAAAAGGTTACAATGCCTAAAAGCTTTTTAAAGACCACAAAGTTAACAAGTAAATGTTCGTGCTATCGTTAATTTATTCCCTGAACTGCTTTTCTATAGCTTTTCTGTGTGTAAATGACTGCTTTTCTATAGCTGAGGTTTAGATTCATGTAATGTAGAGGGACCACAAAGTTAAAAAGTAGTTAGGTAATTTATTATTAATCAAACATCTACTTAGACGTTAGAGAACTCTAAACGTCTTTAACAAAAAAAAGACTCATAATTCTGTGATGACCCAAGCCCAACACCCCAACTAATTTCGGTCCAACCTCAAGGCCCATCCGAATATACCCAAGGTAGTGACTATATAAGCCTAATTCCTCATCTTGTTTTCTCAGAAACTACATGCAAAAGAAAAAGAAAAGAGAGTTAGAGAGAAAAAGAGTTTAAGAGAGAGTTTGGTGTTTGCATGTAGAGGCTGAGCCACCAGAACTCGTCGCCGGAGCCACCACACGCCAGAATCATGTTGAGCACACCACCACCGTTTGTAACCACCAGAAGCCGCCGTGAACCGCCTTGCCATTAAGCTTTGTTTTGTCCGTTTAGTAAATCAATCATAACTTCCTAACCGTTGAGAATCTCGCGCATTCAAGGCCACCACCGTGTTCTACTCGTCGAGACGAATCCGTAGACACCAAAAACGCCACGATCCGACCTCAGACGAAGCCACACGCGCCCTCCGAATTTTCGCCGAAAACCACCGTCCGCCGCCGTGCTCCGCCGCCGGACCACCGCCGGACCGCCGTCCTCCGCCGGTGACCAGCCACCGGTGACTCGCCGTCGCCTCCGGTAAGCCTCCGCCGTCCTCCGCCGTCGCCGCCGGTGACCAGCCACCGGTGACTCGCCGGCGACTCGGCCAACTCGGCCGAGTCGACTCGGTGAGTCAACTCAGTTGACTCGGTCAACGGTTGGTTTGACCGGTTTAAATTGATCTCGGTTTGGTTAGGTTAAACCGGCGGTTAAAATCAATTTGGTTTCGGTTAGGGTAAACCGGTTAATTAAATTGATTTAGTTTTGGTTATCGCGAACCGGTTGGTCCAATTGAATTCGATTTCGGTTAAGGAAAACCGGATGGTTTAATTCAATTTCAATTTGGATAAGGTTTGACCAGGGTTGACTTTGACCTGCGAGTTGACTTTTTGACTAATCCGTCCGAAACCCGTTTTAAGCCGTTCGAAAGCCGTTCTGACTCGATTTTTCGCCCTGATCTCAGATTTGGAGTCTATTTGAGCACCTGGAGTTCATAGACACCACTTCTCTTCATTGCTAAGGTGAGGGCTATTCCATTTGAACCCCGAACTAGTTTAGTACTGCTATTATGAAAAGTCTAGTTTCGAAACATGTTCTGTCTCTCTGAATCGAGTCTATTTGAGAGTCTTGTTTGTTTATTTATTTTTATTATTGATTGTTGACCGGAAATAGGATAATAGAGGATTCAACGGTTGTGTGACATGATTGATGATAAGAGTTGTTATATATAT